ATTATTTTGCAGCCACACGCCTGCACGCAGCGTTTTAGACTTCGAATCCTTCGCAGGACGAGGTCATTTCCTGGACGGACGAGTGCTAGGAGCCTCTCAGGTAGAATAGAATCCATTTGGGAAACGCCCTCTAAAGAGAGAGGGTCTCAAGCCCCACCTGGTCGTCAGTTTATGTTCGGGTTGTCGTTTTCCGCTTCGCGTTGCCAGGTTCGCCGAACTTCCGCGCGTTTTCTGCACCGTCTCGAAACGGGGTCGCGCGCTGCAGATCTCTTATTTTCTTTAGTTGGAAACCCGGACCGGTAAGATCCTTTTACAGAAAAGGCGAAGCCAATTCAAAACACCTATTATATATATCCGTCCAGAGTCTAATGACATACAGAAGTCAAAACTCATATAGATATAAAGCTTGAAATGATGTGTCGCATCTTTTCCAGTGCAATGGGGCGTAGTCTGCATTGGTCCCGAGCTCTGGCTCGGGGTCAGGCTGAAAAAGCCGCCCTCTCGGCGGGCTTACAGAGAAGATTTCGGGCGGGAGTGTAAACGGGGTGGGCGAACGAAATATTCCATTCACGAATGGCAAAAAGGCGCCCCACCCACCCACCACTTGATCCAATGTTGCGGATCAAACAAAGAAATGAACAATTGGCAACAACCGGCCCTAACTTTTGCAACTCAAAAGTTGTTTCCAACTTTTTCAAATAAGGTGTTCATCCCGATAAATCAGGAGTAGCACACTTATTTTCTTTAGTTGGAAACCCGGACCGGTAAGATCCTTTTACAGAAAAGGCGAAGCCAATTCAAAACACCTATTATATATATCCGTCCAGAGTCTAATGACATACAGAAGTCAAAACTCATATAGATATAAAGCTTGAAATGATGCGTCGCATCTTTTCCAGTGCAGTGGGGCGTAGTCTGCATTGGTCCCGAGCTCTCCCCCATTTAAGGAAAACGACCAATGCTCTCTTCGCCCAAAGCTTCTGCTACCTCAGTCCATCTGAATTCTGTCTCCACAGCTCCCAATGCTTCGACTTGATCGAAGCAAAGCCTGCTGGGAGCATCTGCGATGTTTGAGCTAGTCGGTACTCTGGCGTACCAAGCTTTGCACTGACATTCCATTTCAAGATGCGACACACTTGCCATCAAAGACCTAGCGTGACGGGTCGCTCCCGAGGCTTGGATGCATGCCGATCTGGCAGCGTCATTGTCAATGTAAAACACCACTGATGCGCCCGTGAAACGATGCCTCCAATACGCAAAAGCGATCAAGACTGGGATGATCTCCAGTTCGTAAATGGGATTTGCAGAAAAAGACAAAAGGCGTGCCATGATGTCCGCAGCCTCACCTCCGAAAAAGGAAACGCATTTCCCATCAGGAGCGAAAAGGACACCCCCAACACTTCCCATTCTCTGTTCAGCCCCTTCACAGGCACCGTCTGTAAACACGGTCCAAGAGCACAGAGATGTAGGCAAGAGGTTGAGGGGGCGAGCATTGCCCACACGCTCCATGAGAAAAGTGAGAGCAAGTCTCTCGGCCGCGTTCAGAACATTCCTTTTGTTTTCCTTCACAGCAAGGTTGCCCAGGACTTTGATAGCGTTATTTGCGATCCTTCCAAAAGCGAAGCTCTTGAACCAGTGCAAACGTCCCCGCAGAGATTCTGACTGCTTCGAGCTGACGTAACCACAGTCAAGGATGTCCTTAAGGACCTCTTGCAACTCCAAGCGTCGTTCACGAGTGTGGCCAAGTGAAACCTGACCCCTCGAGAAAAGGTCCAAATCGACTTCAACTCCCAGAGTGCGGAAAACCGTCGAGAAGGCGCATGCTTTTGAACCGTCCCGCGCAAATTCCAAACCCAGAAGCTGAAAAAGACCCTCGGCCGCTGCGGTAGCGTTAGTCGCCATGGACTGTTTTGCGAATATGGTGTAGTCATCGAAATAAGCACACCAAGCCAGCCGTAATCCCACCATGCCGAGAAACCACACAGCCATGCTGATCCTCAAGAAACCTCCCACGGAGCCTACGGCTCCGAAAGGCAAGGAGTTAATCCCCAAAAAACGAACTCGTCCACAATCGGTGTCCCTGACTGCAATACGCAACATTTCGCGATCCGAAAGATTAACACCAAATTGCTTGTAAGCCGCCTTCAAGTCAAACGTCCTGCCCAGCAATTGGAAACTCGAACCGTGAGAGTCCTGACAGCGGGCTCGACAGCGGGTAAGCATCCACGCGAGATAGGCTGAAATCTCATCCATAGCATGTGTGCGATACTTTTCAACCACCCCGATGGTCTTGTTCAAGCCGCCCACCGTGCAGTCATCTATGACCCTCACCTTATTCTTCTGGTTCAAGCCGAAACGTTTCGCCAGCGCATGTTTGAAGGGGTCAGCGTCGTCGTCCAACCAAACATAGCCTTTCTCAATCTCCTCGAGAGTCTGACGCCATGCTTGCTGATTGGTCGCATCCCGATCATCCGCATTTTCCAGCTGGGCCAGAATGCTCGCATTCAGACCTTTGGCCAAAACTCGCAAAGTGTCCACGCTATATTGCGGCCTCTTCACTGAGCGCGGAAAAACCCCCGAAGGTTCCAACCAGCCTGACAGCGGGAAACCAGCAGCGAGATCGCGGGTAAGATGTTTATCAGGGTACCCCAAATCATCCAGCATTTCTTGGAAAACAAGCAGCCTCTTTCTTTGCAACAGGCTGCACTGATGTCCAGGCATAGCCTTCTTGAGGTTCTGCTCCTCGGCGCCGAGTTCCTGGGCTCTTTTCGTCCACCTGCAAAGGTAGGCCACCCTTTTCTTGGCCAGAGCAAAGTCCTCGTCTGAAACGTTCTCTTCCAGCACTCGTACCACTTCTGCGGGCAGATGGACCGCAAAAGACCTCGGGTGACCGGCTCTTACTGCTTGTTCAACAAAGTCCAATGGTTCCCTGGGGATGCCCACATGATGCAACTCCACCGTGTCCCCATCTTCCAAGTCGTGCAATCTCTCACGACTCAACTTGCTTCGCTTCACCGTCGGGTCGGCCCGAATTTCACCCCACTTCAAAGCTCGCCGCCCGACTGCCTTGGCTCCGGAGGGAAGCTGCCAGTGCTGCTCAGCGATGTTGAGGGGTTCATCCATGAAAAGCACAACGCGTTGGTAGCAGCCGTATTCCGAAACCAAAGGTTTGTACTTGCGCCCTCTCGGTAACATATCCAAAACCATGCGGTGCAAAGGCTGATCAGAAACAACCTGCTGTTCTGACAAAGACTGTACATCCACGGCTCCGAAGAGCGATAGCTTGTCCTTCAAGATGCCTGCGAGTCTCTGACACAGAAGAATAGGGTAAGCCGCCTCTTCTGCAGTGGGATGTGTCAATCGGCCATTCATAACCGAAGGTCTCCATGGTTCGTGAGGATGTCCATCATCGCAGAAAACAGCCAGTGGTTGAAACCAGTTCCTGGTGGACCACCAGCGAGTGGTCTTCTTTCTGTTGCCTCCATGACAGCAGTTGTCAAAACAAGCGTCATAGCCACACAGATCATCAAGCAAACGGCGAACGCAAGGCACATTCCAAAACAAAGAGTTCATGGGGTTCTCAATGGAGCATGCGATAGCCCTGCTAGCCGCCCAACGAACGATTGTGGCCGTATTGGAATATACCTTGTTAGCAGCCTCCACGCGCAGTTTGTCTGTTCCCTGCAGCCCAGGCAGACCTTCAGGATGAGCCAAGCTTCTGAGTGGCTTGGCCACTCTGAAACCCTTGGCTTCCAGGCCTGGGAGTGGCCTCTCTCTCGCTCGCGACGCCGTTCCGCAAGCCGGGGCGAAGTGAATCCAGGCCAGGTTGTCCTCCTCCTGCTGCAAGAATTCAATCAAGCCGTTCACCTGAGCGTCCACTGCCAAATCAAAATTGGCAATGTGAATGCCAGCCTCGCTGATCCTGCAAAAACCTCAACAAATAAAACACTTGCAAGGTCTCGCCCATTGAACTTTGACAAACAAAGCGAGTCCTGGTGACAAACGTCCTGATGCGCAAGATCGGTTTCCGAACCTGCCAGGGCGAGGTCGACCTGCGAATTTGCGGCCACCTGAACTTCGTCAGCATCACGCTCAACTGAAAGACTACTGCCAGCGCCCAACATGGGTTGCCCAAAGGGGCGCAAACAAATTCATCATCGGCATCGCGTTTCAGTCGCTTCTGGTCACGATGCGAATCGACCGGCAAATGTCAGTTACTTGCCCGACAGGTGCTCAACCCATGGTTCGCCCTGCCACATTTGATACACTTGTGCATGCCCTTCTTGCACCGGCCATTGGTGACTTCCAGCTTACAACCTGCTTTCAGATTATAACCAAAGCAAACAGCGTTGCCCTCCGAGTCTCTCGAATTGTATCCTTGCAATTCTACCGGGCAGATGGACTTCGCTTTGGCTGAAGGCTTCTTCAGCTTTGTCGGCCGCTGAACAGGATGCCGATTAGGAGGATTTCCAGCGCCCGAACTGCTCGCACCACCTGAGTTTGCTGGTGTTCTGCCACCTTTTGCCAGAGGCAACAAAAACATTTGAACCCGAGGGTCGTGGCTCAGTCTTGTCATTGCATGGAACAGAGGTCAGGGTGACAGATGTATGCTGCAACTCTTCCGCCATGATAGTGAAGAGTTCCTGATCTGCCTTCACCAACTGCCAACCGCACACGCGAATAACCCTCCGGAGGGTCCCTGGATACCAAACCCAGAAGCTGTTGCAACCATTTCTGGTGAGTATCCCAGTGTATCAGCCCGCACTGATCCAACGCTATACCTCTTCGCTGCATCGCCCATTGCCAATGCAGCTCAGTCGAGGCGTCAACGCTGATCTCCTCGTCAGGTCCTGAAAACTTCAGCATGTGCTGCTCCACTGTCAAAACCGGCGTTTTCTCCTTGGTGAGCTGTTGCACTTCCCTTTCGCGTTTTGAACATTTTGAGGGAGCCACCCAAATGACAGAGTTTGTGTCACACATTGAGGCCACCAGGTCAATCAGAGCATGCGACGGCTGCAGCTCGCCCTTGATGCTGACGCCGTTCAACCGGGCCTGCTGTCTTTCCAGCCGCGCGACCTTCTCGGCGTTCGGGAGCTTCCTGACCCCTTCTTGCCCTGCCTCCTGACTGACTTGTGACCTCAAATGCGCCACAATCATGGTCGAGGCTTCGAAATGCAACCGCCTCATTTGTGCAAACAACCCCAACGAAAGGTCAGCCCCCTCGTTGATGTTTCTGCAGAAATCTTTGAACTCTTGCTCTGTCGGAGGACTCTGCGGAGTTCCAATCGCGAAAGCCAGCTGTGACATGCTGCGCAATCCATTGGACCTCACCAGGTTCCAAAGATTGCCTGCGTCATCTATCTTGTCACAGTGCGCTTTGAAAGCAGCTGTAGAGTCGATTAAAGACATGGCAGGCGAGTCCTACAAAGAGATTTGTTCCACTCTGCCCCATGTCACCGACTCCACATCCCTGAAAGCTTACATTTGAAAAATCCTACTCATGCCTACCAGCTCCAAAGCGCATCCCTCCTTTGAGCAAGAAACTCCCTGAGAGAATAGCGCGATCCTGCTGGTGCCAGAGCATTCGAAATCACACACACGGAGAAAAGGTGCATGGCAGTCCTACACTCGACCGAGTCAAGTGTTCCACTGTCCATTTGATCTGATTTGAAAAATGTGGCAGCCCCACATTCGATCTGATCGAATGTCCCGCAATCCACAAGCGGAAAAATCAACTACTTCGATTCGCCCTTGCGGACAGCGAAGCACAGTGGTCCCTTTCAAACTGAGAAAAAGGGTAAAACCAAACGCCGTCTTTTCCCCTCCCTCGGTTTTCGAGCACAGTCTCCGCGACTATGTCGAGACTCAGATGAGGCCCTAGCGCATTATTGGTTTTACACAACCGGCACAGTCAAGGTGAAACGCAATGGAAAGCGGCCCCTTTCTATCGCCTTCATGCGATGAATCCACTCGCTTTGCAAAGGTCATAATGTCTTCCAGCATGAGTTTGCTGTTGAAAAACTGCCTTCCTGTCGGGATCCATCTGCAACGGTCCACTCTAGTGAAAACCGGCGGAGTCAAACCTTTCCTGATCTCGACCAGCGTGCCGCACAAAACTGCTAGCGGCCTGCTTGCACCATCCATGCTATAGGTTAACGCCATCTGCAGGTAAAATTGTACGGTACCCCAAAGCCAGTCTGTCTTCGGAAAAAGGTACTCCTCTTTGAGTCTTAGTCAGCAAATGTTCCAAACCAACACGATGCCTCCAAGGTCGACGTACCTGGTGTATAGTCCTGAAGTGCTCGTCTGCGAGCGGCGTTGCCTGATGAAGCTCCTTCCCACTGGCGAGAATACTGCGACTGCACACCTTCACTCGCAATGCACTCATCAAGCTGTTCCACACTCCAAACGTGCCTGGCGACCCTGCATGCTTCGTGAACTGCTTCCAGCCTGGTTCCATATGCACCTTTCATAATGCTGAGAAACCAAGTACTCATAAAGGGGCTCGTTGCCAGGAAAAAACTCTTGCAGAAGAGCCAGGCAATTGACCACACGACCCAAGCTATTTGCTTGTTTCCACAGCGAGCTAGGTGATTTGTTGTAAAAGATGTCCACCAACGTCCGAGCTTGTTCGCTGAACGGTCACCTCCAAAAGCAGTCTGACAATACTCACGTCCTGTTTCAAAACCAGAACCAAAGCATGCCGTCACGAATTGCCTTCTGCCAGAACTCCTCCCGTTCATCTTGCCAACTTTGAACAGCTGTGTTCTTGGTTACATGATTTTATGAGGTTACAGCTCTTCCTTTTGCTGGTTGGACCACCACATCGTCAGTCTCCTCGCTACGTTCTTCACCCGGGTCACAAGAAACGGCTGCAGGTCAACGCATTTCCAACATGTCAAAAAATCGGAAGACCAACTACGGTCCAAAAAGGTTTGTGACCAGATTCCTGTTACCCTGAAAGAACACCAGCCGAAGAAAGCACATTGTTCCAAGCAGTTTCCCAAGTTCCTGTTGGATCCACCAGAATAAGTTCTGCTTCATGCTATGACACAAGTGAATGAGAATACATAAATCCTGCACCACATTGAGCATCAGTATATCCAGCACGTCTTGCATCTCTGCATTCATCTGCTGTTAAAACCGTCGGAAAAGCTGCGACATTCTGTACTGTAGAAGGTGCAATAACACTGTCTGATGCAGAAGCACCGAACAGCAACCACACATCGCCAGAGCTTGCAGCGTCATACGTAGTGAAATCGCCCGAATCGTAAAGTAGACGATTGAGCGAATGCGCCATCTGAAGGTTCACACATCCAAACCCCCATGCCAAACGAAATATTCCATTCACGAATGGCAAAAAGGCGCCCCACCCACCCACCACTTGATCTTTTTTTTTTTTGCAATTGTCAGACAAGCGCCCACTGTTGTGACGCAAGCCAAAGTAAGACAAAAAGGGGGTCGAACCAAGTGCCTCAGGCACAAGGACGAGAGTAGCATTGCCTAGTAGTGGCAACCAAAGCGACCACTCTAGGCACCTCTGGCACGCTTCTTGAAACGCCCATGGCGCGAAGATGTAAGTGAAGGGTCATCGTCAAGAGAAGGCTCCACCACAACGGTGGGCTCAAGGCAAGGAATGCTTGGCAATACAGTCAAGTGGTGATGCGCATTTTGCGCACGGCAAGCGGTATCAACAGCACGAAAGGTAGCATCAAGTTGAGTCATGTTAGGACGGATTAAAAGGCCGGCAGAGACAGTCATCCCATAAGCCGCCTTTAGCGCAAAACAATTGGGCACGATTTCACAAGGGAAAAGCGGAGCTCCAAGAAGCTTTTGCAAAGCAGCAAGGCTGTTGCGAAAGTTACGGAGCACTGTATCGACATCACCGGGTTGCAAGAATAAGGCAGGGTCATGACGGCGTGTCTTGTACACTGGCACATTCTTAGTGCCAGTATTGACCGGCACTGTTTCTTGCGTAGTAATGCGAAAGTTGGTCCACAATTCAACCAGGTTAACGCCAGGGTCAACTGGCCCAGGCGGCCAAGTTAAGCTGGTAACCCACGCATGCAACACTCTCATATAGTCAACTCCCCAGTACAGGAACGGGTGCAGCTCGGCCGTAACAGACGGCAATTCAAGTGCCACAAAGCCGACACTTAGCTTCTGCAACGCCTCACGGGCACGCACCCAACGACTCGGGTGGTCCTGCGAACTTTGCGGTAGTTCAGCGTCGGGAGCTAAAGCACCTCGAGGTTTCAGCATGGATAACTTGGATTGCTTTATCCACTTAGCCTCCGAGAGCTCAGCAACACAAGTCATGAGCTGGAAACATCGTTCGGTATGTGCCTTCACCTCAGCTCGCGCCGCATTGACAGGACGAAGCAACTCCTGAGGTGAGCACCGACGTGCAAAGTTAGCGGCTGTATCAGCAACGGTATTGCCAACAATGGCTAAGTTGTACTCAGGGAGAAAGCGCTGCTCTGGTGTCTGATGGCTACCTATCCATGTGATAGTTGGTCTGGCAGTCGTTCCATTAAAAGTTTCACACAAGTGCAAAAGCAAATCAAAGTTTTTAGCTCTGCGGTAAATTTTGGTATCAGGATTTTGGGCTACTGCACCGACAATGGTCTTAGCATATTGAGAGTCAGTAAACACTGTCACAGCTGGATGTGCACGAAGCAAAACAGCGAGAGCCGAGAGCTCGGCCCTATTGACACTTTGCTTACGTGGCACATTTCCACATTGCAGTACTGAAAACCGAGAGGCGACCGACTGCACGTCACTCAATGCCAACTGACCGAGTAAGGCACGCTCCTGCGTTGAAGCAGCAGCATCAAGGACAATGCTCCACGCTGCAACTGGATGAGAGCAATCATGCAGCACATCACAAGACCCGTCAGTGTAACAAAAGCGCTCACCTAT